TCGTAGTTGCTGAACACCACAAATGATGTAGGTGAAGTTCTATCAATAAAGATCGAGAGCCAAAACCTAGTCATCGTGTTTGTATATAAGCCACCAGATGCAATCTCCCAACAGTTCAAGGAACAGCTCCTGAAAATTGATTACTGTCTGGAAAGCCTTCCAGCTCCATCCGCAAACATCTTACTGCTTGGTGATTTCAACCTAAGGCATACAAAATGGAAGAATGCAGCGAATGTTATAGCAGAAACCATCCCTGGAGGTAGCGCAGATGAAAGGTCACACACACATGAGCTACTAAATCTCTGCGATAAACACACCTTAAGCCAGCAGATAGTGGAGCCAACAAGACTAGAAAACACACTTGACCTTATCTTCACAAATAATGAGGACCTGATAAGAGACAAAACAATATCAAAAACAACTAATTCCGATCACAATCTAATCGAAGTCCAGACTTACATGCACAGGGGTCCTGATCAGCAAAATGCATGTACTTGTGAAGGTGTCTTCACAAAATACAACTTCAACAACAAGAACATCAACTGGGACCAGGTGAACCATGTCCTAAATGAAACATGTTGGGAAGTTATCTTAACATGGATCCAAACCAGTGCCTTGAAAAGATCAACTTCCTGGCAGCCGAAGCATGTTCTAGGTATATTCCTCTTAAGAAAGAAGAGCAGCAGTAAACTGGAGAAAGACGCTCCCTCTACAGAAGACGACGAAGAATCACTGAGCTCCTCAAGAACACTAGAATATCTGTTACACGGAAGGAGGCGCTGACCAGGGAAGTGGAAACTATCGAACTTAAGTTAAAGGACTCTTACAGGAACCAGGAGAGACAGGAGGAGCTTAAAACTATTAGTGAAATATGAATGAGCCTCAAAACTCCATAAATGAATGCCAGATTTCTGACATTACCCTAACTCCGATAGACTGAAACAGCCATTGACAACATGCCAATGCACTCAGCCCCAGGCCCAGACTCGTGGAACTCTGTGTTCATTAAGAACTACAAGAAACCCCTCTCACGTGCCCTAAGTACACTATGGAGGAGGAGCTTGGACATGAGTGAAATTCCACAGTCACTTAAAACTACGGATATAGCCTCACTCCATAAATGTGGCAGCAAAGCATTAGCTAAGAACTATAGACCAATAGCTCTAACGTCCCATGTCATAAAAATCGTGCTAAGAAGCACGATTGCAAATCACCTGGATTCCCAAAAACTGCACAATCCAGGGCGACATGGGTTCAGGGCAAGTCGCTCCTGCCTCTCACAACTACTGGATCATTATGATATGGCCTTGGATGCACTGGAAGAAAATCAGAATGCAGATGTAATATACACAGACTTTGCAAAAGCATTTGACAAATGCGATCATGGCGTAATAGCCCATAAAATACGTGCTAAAGGAATAACTGGGAAAGTGGGGAGATGGATCTTCAACTTCCTAACCAATCGAACACAAAGAGTAGTGGTCAACAGTGTTAAATCGGAGGCTGTCATAGTGAAGAGCTCTGTTCCAGAAGGCACAGTACTCGCCCCCATCCTGTTCCTCATCCTCATATCAGACATAGACAGAGATGTAACCCACAGCACTGTATCATCCTTTGCAGACGATACTAGGATCTGCATGAGGCTGTCATCTATTGAGGACACGGTTAACCTCCAAGAAGATATAAACAAAAGTTTTCCAGCGGGCAACGGAAAACAATGATGTTCAATGAGGACAAATTCCAGTTACTACGTTATGGAAAACTGGAGGAGATAATAACTAGAACAGAGTATACTACAATCTCTGGCCATACAACAGAGCGGAAAAAAATGTAAGGGACCTGGAAGTAGTAATGTCTGAAGATTTCACTTTCAAGGATCACAACAGTGCCACGGTCACAAGTGCAAAGAAAGTGATAGGATGGATAATGAGAACGTTCAAAACGAGAAATGCCAAGCCAGTGATGATCCTTTTCAAATCACTTGTTCTCTCTAGGCTGGAATACTGCTGTACATTAACACCTCCATTCAAAGCAGGTGAAATCGCAGATCTAGAGAGTGTACAGAGATCCTTTACTGCACGTATAAGTTCTGTCAAGCACCTTAACTACTGGGAACGCTTGGAAGCACTTGACTTGTACTCGTTGGAACGCAGGAGGGAGAGATATATAATCTACACTTGGAAAATCCTAGAAGGAATGGTCCCAAATCTGCACACAGAAATCACTCCCTACGAAAGTAAGAGACTGGGCAGGCGATGCAAAATACCCCCAATTAAAAGTAGGGGCACCATTGGTACACTAAGAGAAAACACCATAATTGTCCGGGGCCCAAGACTGTTCAACTGCCTCCCACCAAGCATTAGGGGAATTACCAATAAACCCCTGGCTGCCTTCAAGAGAGAGCTGGACAGATACCTAAAGTCAGTGCCGGATCAGCCGGGCTGTGGTTCGTACGTTGGACTGCGTGCGGCCAGCAGTAACAGCCTGGTTGATCAGGCCCTGATCCACCGGGAGGCCTGGTCGTGGACCGGGCCGCGGGGGCGTTGATCCCCGGAATAACCTCCAGGTGCAAGAATTAACAGTTGCTGCACAATTTGAGCAAGAAACTTCAGCCAACATTTCGGTCAATCCTGAACTATTATCGAGGTTCATAAAGGTCATGGACGTACCAAATTACTATCTTAATTTTAGTCAATTTTTTTTTCGCCACTGGTTGGCGAAACATTTCATCACTAAAGATATTTAACGCATTGCTCATGTTTATCAAAACGTTTACGTGATCTGGAAAACAGGCAGATAGCAACCCGGGAGTGTGGTGGTGGCACACTTGTGTGGGTGCTACTCCTGGCTTAGGTTGTGTGTAGATGAAGGTGACCGTCAGATTACGTGACTTCTTCTGTCCTTCCAACCCCGACACCCTCCAAGGGTATCCGAAGATTGAGACACTTATGCAACATATGGGAATCTCTGTTGAAGAAACGTTTCGCCACACAGTGGCTTCATCAGTCCAATATAAATCAGAAAGGTGTAAGGAGAGGGTGAGTTTGAGGTAATCAGTCCCTCAGCCTGGAGTCCATCAATCTTGTAGAAAGTACAGCATAGGGCCGTAGACGTGGCATATATACTGTAATCAGGTGAGGCGAAGCAGGAGGAGGCGGGGTCATAGTGGTACCATCCACTAGTCGAAGTAGGTCTTCGTCCAAAGGTTGGACAAGTGTTGAAGAATTCTTTGTATCTAGATCTCATGATGTTACAGTGTCTAACAGATGTGATAAATGGTTTAAAACCGACAAGTTGAAGATTCAGACACTTGTGCAACATATGCGAATCTTTATTGAAGAAACGTTTCGCCACACAGTGGCTTCATCAGTCCAATACGAATCAGACTCCAGGCTGATGGACTGATTACCTCAAACTCCTCCTCTCCTTACACATTTCTGATTTATATTGGACTGATGAAGCCACTGTGTGGCGAAACGTTTCTTCAGTAAAGATTCCCATATGCTGCATAAGTGTCTCAATCTTCAGCTTGTCGGTTTTAAACTATTTATCACACACTCCAAGGGTATCTCTTGGATGGTGCAAGATTACCTCTCTTGCATCCAAGTAATGTGTGTGTAAGTGTTTAACACCTCAGTTGTGGGTTTGTTAGACGAGAGGCAAGAGGGGCGGGCGGAGCGTGGATGTTAAACTTATTAATTGGGATATGTGTGGCCTGGTGAATTTGTCCTCTCCGGCCTTCTGAGCTCTGTTGCCTATTTGGAGTTGTGTAATTGGCCCTCATACCTAAAGTCGATTTTGGGAATTAACGTCTCCCGCTGTGCGATTTCAGACCGTGTCTCCCGGTGGATGGCCTGATAAACCAGTATTTTTTTTTTCCTGTTCTTGCAATCAGCAAGGAAGTCTTGCCTCAGGCCAGGCAGCGAGTGTATAATAATACTTGAGACTGGTTGAAGGTATGTCACAGGCATTTTGAATTGTGATGCCGTAGTGGTGTTGCGAGGTGCGCTCTGGAGGCTGTTGCTTCTTCATCCGTAGCCACGTCCTGATTTTCACTACGCAGGGCCTGGTTTAGACCGGGATGCGGGGACGATGATCTTCACACCTACTCTAAGTCAAGATTAGCATGGTGCGAACGCTTCAGTAACCCCGAGACGCTCCTCTCTCTCTCTTATGTGCAAGAATGGTATACAATACCGACAAGATGAAATTAAGACACATGTGCAACATCTGGGTATCTTTATTGTAGACGTTTCGCCATCCAGTGGCTTTATCAATACAAATTCCAGGACATAAGTTGAAGATAGTAGAACTATGCACAGAAGATGAAGTAATCAGTCCCTCAACCTAGGAGTAGGTGCGAAGAGCACCGTAGTCGTGGAGATTCTAAAGCAGAAGAAAGGCGCCTGACGCTTGTAAACTAACGTCAGGTGGAAATGTCCTGGAATTTGTATTGATAAAGCCACTGGATGGCGAAACGTCTACAACAAAATTTACCCAGATGTTGCACATGTGTCTTAATTTCATCTTTCTCCCTTAATTCCACACGGTGGCAGCTTCGGCCTCAACTTCCCTGCAGGACTAGCCAGGAAGGTGTACTTTTTATTTTGTTTACACCATCCCTAGCAAAATAAGTAATAAAGGGGCGAATAAGTCTCACTGGTTTATTAAGATTGTTTACCACCACCAGTGTTAACCACCGTACCTCTTATATTGTAGTTTTTGCTTTAGAGTTTTTGTATGTTTAAAAATATTATGAATACAAATTGTTGTATATCCAGCCTATGATTAAGAATGTTCAGATTATGTACACACACACACACATACATACATACATACATACATACATACACACACACACACACACGTACACACACACGTACACACACACGTACACACACACGTACACACACACACGTACACACACACGTACACACGTACACACACACGTACACACACACACAATATAGATTGCTAAGATGGTCATGTTTCTCACGCAGAATAAGAGCACTCACGTCCCCTCCTCCTCCTTCGCCCTGGCGTCCAAGAGCGATGGACGTCTCCCCGAGACCTCCTCCCCTTTCGGCCTCTTCGGTAAGTATCCTTCAAGTTACTTTCCTCTTCTGTGTCTTACTTATACTGTGCATTTACTAACTTACCGAAGATACTAAAGGTGTGGTAAGTACTTAACTCTTTCTTTGTTTTGCTCACATGTGTATTTGCTGCTTCTTCTTCTCTGACTGTGTTTGCTTCAGATCATATTCTTCCTGCTTATCTTGCTCCTATATAATTAGATCACCGCCTTCGTCTTCTTCAGCAAGTATCCTTGACGTCCTTCTCCTCTTATTGCTCATCCTGTGTTATTAGCTGTTTGTGACTAAACTACAAATAGGAGCTGAAACTAAACGTTTCAATTCGTCCTGGGCTATATTATTAAGTCGCGATAATGGATCACAGCCAACCGAAAAAAAAATCGTTTATTTTCATCTCTAATTTTTTTTTGTCTAGTTATGAAATGACTTTTTATTCTTCACCTGTTTGTGATTACAGGACTAAAGCTATCCTTATAGTGATATTTTTTTTTAACTGCCGTTTTCCACCGAGGCAGGTTGATCCAAAGAAGAAAAACACATGCACCATCATTCACGCCCAAGCGTGAAGTTTGCCGACATATTGCAAATGACTTGATAACTTATGATTCATTTTATGCTCGTCAATTATTGTTGCACTTATTAATTGCTTGTACCTTTAATTGACACTCCGGAGCCCGGCCACGGGCCAGGCTCGTCTGGTGCTGCCGGAGGCCCGCTGCCCCACATAGCCATCACAGCTTGGTTGATCTGGCACCTACTTGAAGTCTACCTGCAGGTTATTCCGGGGATCAGCGTCCCGCTGCCCGGTCCACGACCAGGCCTCCCGGTGGATCAGGGCCTGATCAACCAGGCTGTTACCTGGTGAAGAGACTTGTCCAGTTTTCTCTTGAAGACTCGACACTTGTTCCAGCAGTTTCTGATGTCTTCTGGTAAAATATTGAATAGTCTGGGGCCAAGGATGTTGATACATTGTTCCCTTATTGTGCCCAATTCACGTTTGCTTTTCACTGGGTTAATTTGCATTTCCTCTGATATCTCTCTCTCCAGTATGTTGTTATAGCAGTGTGGAGATTTGGGACCAGGCCCTCGAGTACTTTCCTGGTAAATATTGTCATGTATCTCTCCTCCGCTCCGAAGGTTCTCATTATCCACCCCGTCATCCTTCTGGCTGTCGTGACTTTTGTCTTATGTTCTTTGAAAGAAATGTCAGCTGACGTAATTATTCCCAAGTTTTTCACGTGTTCCTTTCGTTCTGTTTGATGATCCCCTTGAGTTTTATATACAGTGTTCCTTTGGAGTTCTTCATTCTTTCCATACCTAAGCAGCTGGAACTTATTACCATTGAACGTCATATTCTCCACAGCCCTGTGGTAAACACTGCTTACATCTTCCTGTAATATTTCATTGTCTTCTACCGAGGTGACTCTCATGCTTACTTTGGTGTCATCTGTAAATACTGACACAAAACTATCACGGATGTTTTCCTTCTTAGTTCACATTTAAGTCTAAAACCACTTCTCTTGCATAAGCTCCTCTCAGGTCATTTGCAGATAAGTCAGGTTGCCTAAGTTGGACTTCGTCCTGCTAGCACCAACAACTTGAGTGCTCATGTTACGAGCCAGGAGGCCTGGTCTGGGACCGTGCCACGGGAGCGACAATGTAACAGCTACGTATTTTGCGTAAAAAAAAAAAAAAAGCCAGGTGAGCTACCTGGAGTGTTTCGTGGGGTCAGTGTCTCCGCGACCCGGCCCCGGATCAGCCCTCCCGATGGATTAACTGATCAACCAGGCTGTTGGTGCTAGCCACAGGAAGTCCAACATATGAACCACAGCCCGGCTGGTCAGGAACTGACATGAAGAACTTAAGTTCTTGAAGACAGCCAGGGGGTATACCTTTAATATACCTTTACTTTTGATGAGTTTCGAGAGAGTACCCCCGGAGCCCGGCCATGAGCCAGGCTCGTCTGGTGCTAGTTTGTTGGTAATCCCTCTTATGTATGATGGGAGGGTATTGGAAAGTTTTCCTTTATTATTATTCTTTCACACTTAAGTTTTTCCTTAGTGTACTCATTACATCACTACTATTCATTAGATGTATTTTGTATCTGGAGTGTACCAGAAGACAGCCTCGATGATCATGGTCTTCGCAACACCGTGGGTAGTCTCTGGGCTACCTCTCCCAGCTTCACCTCCCTGTTATTATATTGCAGTACCATCCTTTCAGGCTAGAAAAAGACAGCTGAACAGGCGAAACATTGTCTTAATTTCCAATTGCTGCTTCTGTATCATCTACAATATGGACTGAGTTTGAGAGAGACGTTTGTGTGTGCGTGAATACTTAGGGATTTTCAGTTAGGTGTTTCTAGCTGCAGCAGCAGAGTTGTGTACATGTCCTCTCCTCACTTAGTATTTTATCATATAGGTTCTTAAAATTTTCATTGCCCGTAGTACTTACCACCTTTGTTTATTCCATAGTAGTCACCTACTGTGTTTGTCGGAGTTACTCTGCTTTAAGGTGCTTCCACCGACCGACACAGGTCATTAGCCAGGGTCGAGACTTGGCTCTTGGTCCCTCCAGCAGCATTCCCGGTTTTCTCGCCTCTTGAACCCTGTCATCCCTATTCTTAAAACTATGTTAGATATGTTGAAGGTTCTTGTAAATAGACCCTTAGCCTGTGTACTCACCTATTTGTGTTGCAGGGGTTGCGTCGCAGTTCCTGGACGCCGTGTGTTTGTTTGTGTTTGTGCGCGCCCGCGCGCTAGCTCACTTAGTACATGTCTGTTTAACGTAGGATTGACTATAGGTCTGGGTTTGTTTGTAACAATCTGTTGTGACGGCGGCGGCGGCAAGGAGTGGGTGTGAAAGGAGTGTGTTGTTGTGTGCTGGGACACGAGAGGATGAAGATACCCCTTGTAAGAATGGCCCTTGGAGGGTAGTCTTGAAGGTAGTCCTTGAATGGGTGGTCCTCAGTGGGTATTCCTTGCATGGGGGTCCTTAGAGGCTGGTTCTTATAATGATGCTTATAAGATGGTCGTTGGGGAGTGTCTTGTAAGCTGGAATGTTTAAGATCTTGGTAAAGCTATCCTTAGTGTAGTTCTTGCTAAGTCCTGTAAGGTTGTCTTTGTAAGACCCCGTTATAATAATAATAACAATAATAATATTTATTTCTACAAGTACATGATGCAACTTATACAGACCTAGCTGACGTAAGTGACATAGAGAAATACCATTTTTATGCAGAGCATTTCGGGCAAATTTAGATCAGTTTTCTCCCCAGGATACGACCCACACCAGTCGACTAGCACCCAGGTACCCTAAGGAAACACTCCCAGATGTTCCTTACCCCCCCCCTTCTCTTCATCATCCTCTTCGTACCACTAAGTTAATCCTCCCTGCTTTTTTTATTGCTAGTGTGATGTCATCTCTCCCACTTGTCGTTACTCTTTTCTGTTCGCTTGTAGTTCCTCCCCCTCCTTAATCCCCCCTCTCAAGTATTTCCATACAGTGTGACATCACCAAATTTGCTATGCTGGGTTAAATGTCGTCCCAGACTGAAATATTTCTCCTGAGATGACGTAAGGACTAAGATCCTTGCGAGCGGCTGGTAGGGTGCCCAGTGACGGCGGCTGTGATGGTCATTCTGTCATCTGGGTCTTGCTGTCTCTCGCTGCTCCACCTGTTCTTCGAGGTTTCTTTATTCTTCTTCGGCGCGAAGCTCATCATTCTTACGGGTTCATTAATTCTGTAGATATAATTCTAGTTACGCCGTGTTAATTTAATATAGTCAGGGATTATTTTGCGCATATTAAATAAGGCTATTCAGTATTAGTACGCTCAGCTCTTAACCCAGAGGACGCACGCTCGATTATCTGGAGCATGTAAAATATCCTGGGAGTCAGTGCCTCCACGACCCGGTCCCGTACCATGCCTCTTAAATATGGTCAAATGCTTAAATAAATGGTTTAGAAAACGACAAGTTGATAAAGATTGATGGAGTGAACACACCGAAATCCAGGCTGAGGGACTGATTACCTCAACTCAAAATCTTCCAAATTTCTCTGTATTGGACTGAAGAAGCCACTGGCTGGCGAAACTTTTCCAGAAATGTTGCACAAGTGTCTCATTTTACAAGGGTCAAGTAGCTTTAGACCAGCAGCCCATGCTCACCTAGTACTTAACAAATTTGTCAACTGTTGTGGGTCGCATCATGTGACAGAACAGAAAGTATGGAAATAAGTCATAATTCTTAGCTTTCTCGCCTTTGCCGCGGTTAAATGATCCCAAGTAATTCATTTGTGGCTTTTGGCCCGAGTAATTAAGGTTTATTAATGGGTTTAAAAACCTGTGACTTGTGCAGTGGTCATTAAAGCCGAACGTCACCTGTTCCCCAGAAGTCAAGAATACTTCAAACCCTAAAGTAAGAATAAAGAAAACTGTGTGTAAATGAGGGATGTGTACACCTCTCAGTTAGTTACCATTTTGTCCTAGGCACATGTCGATTAGACACTAGGCCTGTTCTATCGGTGTGTGTGTGTGTGTGTGTGTGTGTGTGTGTGTGTGTGTGTGTGTGTGTGTCAGTGTGTACTCACCTAATTGTGGTTGCAGGGGTCGAGATTCAGCTCCTGTCCCCGCCTCTTCACTGATCACTACTAAGTGTGTGTGTGTGTGTGTGTATGTATGTGTGTGTGTGTGTATGTGTGTGTGTGAACAAACCGGCCGTATCCCACCGAAGAAGGGTGACCCGAAAAAAAAAAAGTTTCTCTTTTTAACATTAGTAATGTATACAGGAGAAGGGGTTGCTAGTTCCTTGCTCCCAGCTTTTTAGTCACCTTTCACGACACGCATGGCTTACTGAGGAAGAATTCTATTCCACTTTCACATGGAGATAAGAGGAAATAAACAAGAACAAGAGCTAGTAAGAAAATAGAAGGAAACCCACAGGGGTGTGTGTATATATATGCTTTTACATGCATGTGTAGTGTGAGCTAAGTGTAAGTAGAAGTAGCAAGATGTACCTGAAATCTCGCATGTATATGAAACCGAAAAAAGACACCAGCAATCCCACCATCGTGTAAAACAATTACAGGCTTTCGCTTTACACTCGTTTGGCAGGACAGCAGTACCTCCCTGGGCGGTTGCTGTCTACCAACCTACTACCCTATAATCTCCTTCAGTAATTAAGATGTATCAAATGGCATAATGCCAACATAAGTGAAGAAACGTGGCGGACTAACCTTAATTGAGAATGCTGTAAATAGAGTGAAACGTCGTGCCAACGTATGCTTGTGCTGCAACATGTCTTGTGTTCAACAAAGGTGGTGCAGGCACCGTTTTCTATACTCTGTTTACACCTCTGTTGGCTGGCTGTGAGATAGTTATATCAATGGTTTTATTGTGGTAACGACGTAGTTTAATACAACTGTATCAAGCGTGGAGTTCATGTTGCAAGTGGCCTGTGAGCTGTGACGTCAGTCTACATCTTAAAATAAATCAGTATATCCCTTACATGCGCCTCTGACGGATGAAGACACTGCTATCCCACCTGGGGGCTCTTACGGTCGAAATTTAATGGAAATAGATCAGTTGGTTGACCTCTGGACTCGCGTTGTATGTATTGGCTTTTCTTTGTTTCTCATGTGTGGGTGATGTCAGAGTGAACATGGAGTAGTAGTGGAGGGAGACCAGATTTTGATGTCTATTTTCTCTCTCTCTCTCTCTCTCTCTCTCTCTCTCTCTTATTATATATATATATATATATATATATATATATATATATATATATATATATATATATATATATATATATATACACACACACACACACACACACACAACGTGAAAAACAAACATTTCTCTCTGTATATAGTGCCGAATAGGCAGAACTGGTCAGTTACTAGCAACTCATTTAAAATTAAGTCCTTTCTAAAATTTTATACGTTTAAAGATACATTTTTTCATTTATGTTAATGTAAAAATTGATAATTTTGTACCAAAACACCCTTAAAAAACTAACCTAACCTTATTATAACAAGCGCAATTTAATTTAGCCTAATCCATTTAAATATATTTTAGATAAGTTGACAATAATTTAATAACGAAAACATATTTCATTGTGTTTATTAAGTTCAGGATGATTTTTGCGAAATTATTGCATACAAAAATTTTCGCTTGCCTTATTCGGCAAGAACAGCGTTGCTATTTAAGCCAAAATCACGAGTTTTACTTATTCGGCACTATATATATATATATATATATATATATATATATATATATATATATATATATATATATATTATATATATATATATATATATATATATATATATATGCAAAACAACCACTGTGAAAGAGTAGTGAAATTCCAAGCGCTTTCGTGACTACTCACATTGTCAAGGAACTATGCATAGTTCCTTGACAATGTGAGTAGTCACGAAAGCGCTTGGAATTTCACTACTCTTTCACAGTGGTTGTTTTGCATATTTTAAAATCACCTGTTTACTGTGATCTTATTGTATATATATATATATATATATATTATATATATATATATATATATATATATATATATATATATATATATATATATATTATATATATATATATATATATATATATATATATATATATAATTATAATTATATATGCAAAACAACCACGGAGGGAGTTGAATGATAGCTGTAGGCCTTTCATGTTGCAGTCAACATATCTTCAGGAGCTTGCAGTGTTACAGAAACGAGTAGGAAATCCAGGTAGCCAGTGTGTCTAGTAATTTAACCCTGTTGTGTGATAGATGGGTCACTGAAGCTTGACACATGTTATTAGTTCATGTTTACATGTGTTGCAGGAGCTTCGGCCTGGGGAGCCGACCGTCTGGGTTATTTATCTCCCTTCGCCTACGCCTACACCAACGGCACTTCAGCAATGGTGAGTACTCATTTCTGCAACTTAGTAAACTATTTTGTTTTACCTGTCTTTGTCCACCTCTACACTTTTTTTTTCGTTATGCCTGTGTCGATCTTTGAATTTTTTGTTACATCTGTGTTGATATGTGATATGGTTTTGTTATACCTGTGTCGAACTCTCCATTTTTTTTGTTATATCTGTGTCAACAGGTGGACTATTATTATTATATCTGTATCGACGACTGTACTCTTTGTCAGTGCTTGGATGCTTTGGAAGGGCTCTTGATTCAAGGAACTTCAGCTACCCACTTCTTCCATAGATGATACCTGAGTACTTCTCCCATAGATGATACCTGAGTACTTCTCCATAAATTTTTAAAGGGGTGGACCGGTAAACCAGCGGAAGGCCTCGGTCAGATGACCAAAAACAGCTTCAGGTCATCACGTGACTATGACCCGCTTCAGGAAACACTTGTTCTGTTTTCTAGGAAACCTAACCTAACCAAACCAAACCTACCTCCCGTTTCCCCTTTTAAGTCTTAGCGGCTTAATACCTCCTCACGAATATGATGAAATAAGCCAGTTGTCGACGACAGTGCCAGTATTTACCTCTAATTAATACAGGAGAGGAAAAGAATATTGTGACCACTTTACTACTGAAATCATAGGCACAGACAAAGATACGTGGAGAAGATAAAACAGAAGATAATAAGAATGTTCTAGATTTCTTGTTACAGCTGTTACACCATTCTGTATGATACCCACATTGTGGGTACACCTGCAGTAACCTGCTACACTGTTAAGATACATTGTGAGAGAGCACGCAGTGTCTTGCTACACTATTTTATATGGTAGTTATATTGTAGGTGAACAAACATTTGTTAAATTGTTCTGTATGATAGGGTGTTGGCATGTTTGCTACACTGTGATAGTTACTGATTACAAGCAATGCTTTTACTGGGTATCATTATTTGTAGACGTTTCGCCATCCAGTGGCTTTATCAGTACAATATAAGGACATTATGTGAAGAATGTAGAATTATATACAAAAGATGAGGTGATCTCATCATTTGTATATATCATTATTTCCATTGGAGTCCTTGTAGCATCTTATTATTTAAAGTTAAAGCTAAGGGGTGTAGGTGGTGAAGGGGAAGTGCCATGATATAACTGCTGGAGGGAGACAGCACCGGCGCTTCCACTAACTTATCATACAACCAGACCGTTGAAACTCCAGCTGATAAGATAATATTGACTACATTTTGTGTGGGGGATTGGCGCTCCAAGGGTCGCATGTGTGGGGATAGGTGGCGCTCCAAGGGTCACATGTGTGGGGATAGGTGGCGCTCCAAGGGTCGCATGTGTGGGGGATAGGTGGCGCTCCAAGGGTCGCATGTGTGGGGGATAGGTGGCGCTCCAAGGGTCGCATGTGTGGGGGATAGGTGGCGCTCCAAGGGTCGCATGTGTGGGGATAGGTGGCGCTCCAAGGGTCGCATGTGTGGGGGATAGGTGGCGCTCCAAGGGTCGCATGTGTGGGGGATAGGTGGCGCTCCAAGCGTCGCATGTGTGGGGGATAGGTGGCGCTCCAAGGGTCGCATGTGTGGGGATAGGTGGCGCTCCAAGGGTCGCATGTGTGGGGGATAGGTGGCGCTCCAAGGGTCGCATGTGTGGGGATAGGTGGCGCTCCAAGGGTCGCATGTGTGGGGGATAGGTGGCGCTCCAAGGGTCGCATGTGTGGGGATAGGTGGCGCTCCAAGGGTCGCATGTGTGGGGGATAGGTGGCGCTCCAAGGGTCGCATGTGTGGGGATAGGTGGCGCTCCAAGGGTCGCATGTGTGGGGGATAGGTGGCGCTCCAAGGGTCGCATGTGTGGGGATAGGTGGCGCTCCAAGGGTCGCATGTGTGGGGGATAGGTGGCGCTCCAAGGGTCGCATGTGTGGGGATAGGTGGCGCTCCAAGGGTCGCATGTGTGGGGGATAGGTGGCGCTCCAAGGGTCGCATGTGTGGGGATAGGTGGTGCTCCAAGGGTCGCATGTGTGGGGGATAGGTGGCGCTCCAAGGGTCGCATGTGTGGGGATAGGTGGCGCTCCAAGGGTCGCATGTGTGGGGGATAGGTGGCGCTCCAAGGGTCGCATGTGTGGGGATAGGTGGCGCTCCAAGGGTCGCATGTGTGGGGATAGGTGGCGTTGCAAGGGTCGCATGTGTGGGGATAGGTGGCGCTGCAAGGGTCGCATGTGTAGGGATAGGTGGCGCTGCAAGGGTCGCATGTGTAGGGATGGGTGGCGCTGCAAGGGTCGCATGTGTAGGGATGGGTGGCGCTGCAAGGGTCGCATGACGGATAAAACATCGTGAGTATGTTTCTGTATATGTACGGTTGTAACATTTGTGTACTAGGTATGTATGCGTGTATGCACTTGTGCAACACTGTTGCGTGTACTTGGTGTATGTATGTACCAGAGGAGGCTACATACATGCTTGCAAAGAGAACTTACATACTTGTGTACATGTGGAGTTAACATACCTGTATACATGTAACAGCTACATTTATGTACACATGTAGACTATACTTGAGTACAAGTACTTACCAAGGAAAATGCAGCAAGCTGGTAGGGTACACCTGGGTGTGATAAGAGTAGGTACACACTCAGTGAGTACACTAAACACGTGGTGGTGTTTTAAGTACTCACAGGCTTGTGTTGAAGTGCCTTTGGTTCCAACAGACTTTACTCTCAACCTTTCCCCACTGTTATATACTAACTTCTGACCTGGGCTTTGTCGTGCCTGTTCTTGAAACTGTGAATGCATCCGTTCACAAATATCCCACACTCTGGAGAGAAAACATTAGACGATGTTTCGGTGCATCTTGGATCAAATCCCCAATAAGTGTTCTACGACGGACCGAAACGTTCTCTGAAGTTTCCTTTCCAAAGTGTGGGTCATTGTCTTTTTTTTTTCATCTACGTGTTAGAGAATACCAACAGTTCTACTAGAGTGTAAAACTTAACAGCGTTTCGTTTTTCACTTATGGGACAGGAGGTTGTTGTACCTACCTGGATGATATGATTGTGTGTAGTGGTGTTAAGACTATGTATGCTTGAGAGAGATCCACGGGTCGCCAGCAACAACAACCTTGTCAAACATTGAAGAGGAGAATAACCCTGAAACCAGTCACAGGTCTGTTACCCTGGGTAGTAGGGCGTGGTGGGTGGCGGTGTCTACCTGGAGAGAGTTCCGGGGGTCAACGCCCCCGCGGCCCGGTCTGTGACCAGACTGAAGAAATATTTCCTGACGTCCCTGTGGCTCATTGGTGTGTTTACCTTCAAACACCCTGTCCTTGTCTACCCTATCAATTCCCTTAAGTATTTTGTATGATGTTATCATATCTCCCCTGGTTAATCTATCATCCAGTGTTGTCAAAAAAATTACATTAGCCTTTCCTCGTTGATCATGTCCCTTAATTCAGGAACATACCTTGTTGCGTACTTCTGCAGTTTCCTGATATGCTTCAGGCGTGGGTTTCATACTGGTGCTGCGTACTCCAAGATGGGCCTGACATAAGTTATGTATAGTGTCCCGAAAGACGTTTGAGGTTCCTGAAGACCACTCTTAGATTTGCCAGGCGAGCATTAGCTGTATAGATGATTCGGTTGATGTGAATGTGTGCGTGCATGTGTGTGGGACTGCCTGCCTGTGGTGGGTGGGTTGTGGTGCCTGTAGATATCTCTCCGCCTATATTAGTCCCTAGAGGCAGCCTGTCCATCACGGGGCCCAGGTGCCCCACCGCCATCCCTGCACTCACCACACCTGCTTTGCCTACACTTACCACCCGTATTCCTGCCCTCTCCTCCCCCCTTTCTACTCCTATCCTTCTTCTCCCCTTCCTATTCCTGCCCTCCCCCTACCCTCCCTTCTCCTGCCTTCCCTTTTCCTACAAGTGCAACGCCTGTCGTCCTTCTCCGCAGCTACCAACATCAACAGCCTGGTTGACCAGGCAAGCACCAGACGAGCCTGGCCCATGGCCGAGCTCCGGGAGTAGAAAAAAACTCGTCAAAGGTAAAGGTATATCCCAACTCCTGTTCTCTCACTGCACACTTCTTCAACACCTACCCTCCCCCCTTCACCTATAATACCTGTCCTTCCCCTCCCTAACACCCAAAACACCTACATTACGCGTCACTGCACTTTTAAGTATCTATCCTACACCATAAAACCGTAAGAATAAAGGAGCACTACTGATCCATGTTCGGCAAGTGCTGAAACCCACTTCTTATTCCTGTATTTGCCCAACTTAATTTTAAAGCTACCTAAGGTGTTAGATTTAATGATTACTTGGCAGCTTGTTAAATCAGTACTTTACTATATCCTTTCAAAACTTTATTTAACTTGACTTCATTGTTCGAGTTTTTTTTGTTAGATATTCTTAGCACCCTATTATTTATATATATATATATATATATATATATATATATATATATATATATATATATATATATATATATATATATATATATATATATATATGGGTCCACCTCTGGTGCAAATTGTGGGACCCATAACCTCGGAGAAGTGGATAAAAAGACTTCAAGGAAGAATATTGGATTTCTTGCTGAAGCCATTTGACTATTCTACTTCCCCTACCACCCCATCTTTTCATTCTTTTGAACCAGTAGGTATATTTTATTACATAATATGGTACAAAAGATTTAAGAGATACATTGTCGATATAAAGATGGCATATACAGTACATGAAATACATGTCTAGTACATATTATTACGTGTTTGCCCAGAGAGTAGTGTCAGTGCTCTCAGTCTATATTCGCATTTATTATTATACAGTGGATTACCTGTCATCTTTCTTTGTATGCTTTCCAATGTATTTATATCCGTGTAGAGACCAGAACTGAGTTGTACCTTTGATATATCGTTGAAGGCTTTAGCGAATTTTCCTACTCGCGCAGCCCGGCCTTGGGTCAGGTTTGTCTGGTATTAATGACGCATAGAACTGTAGAATAACCTTTGGACTCCTGTTTCTTCTTTAAGTAAATCCTAGTAGTCTGTTAGCCTCATTAAGCAGACACAGGCACTACTGTCTTGACTTCAGATTTCTTCTTGTTATGACTCCCCAAGTATTTTCCATATTCTGTATGATCAGATTCTACATTACCTTGTTTATTAGTATGAGAGTTTTCATTCCCAGGGATTCGGACTTTGTACATTTTCAAATTGAACGAAATGTGCCGCTTGTTGAACCACAACATTATCTTCTTCAAATTTATTTGGAGCTTATCAGTACCTTCTTTCGAATCCATTATCTGGTTTATGTTTCCATCGCCAGCTAATGTACTTATGCGATTTTATTTTTTGGTTGACAAGGCAAATACCAGACGAACTTGGCCCATGGCCGGGCTTCGAGAGTAGAAAAACTCTCGGAACTCATCCAATGTATATCGTCAACGTCATTAATGTAGATAACGAGCAACAAAGGGCCCAAAACTACTGTTTCAATAGTCATTTGACCCTTGTCCTGAGGAATCGTGTTGGTATATCAGGATATGAATACGTATGTATGAGGAAGGATACAAGTACATGCAGTTAACATTTTTAAAGCAGAAGATAAATCATTACCATCAAATTACTGCCCAATAAGCCTGACGTCAAACTTAGGCAAATTATTTTAGAGTGCGTGAGTGCGTCACTGAGCTTAGAACAGCTATACCTTCAGGCGAAGCGGAAGCTAGGAAGAAGATAATCTTACAGAGGAGTAGAAGAATCATCCCTGGAACAAAGAAAAGAATACCAGTCACATGAAAGTGGAGACTAGCAGCAAGGACTAGAAACTATTTAGCAAGAAAGGCTTGAAGGTAAAAATGAAAGTTTAAGGAATGTAGATAAATGGGTCAGAGAACCTACAAGTTGATATAATTAGTCCATCAAATTCCTTCACTGTGCTAGATGATGAATTTAGATTAGTAATCGATAACGACAGTAGATTGGTGATCACTTGTGCCCAGCTCTTGGGTGATCTCTAGATTATTTACCAGGATATCATTGACAAAACCAGATCAAGCAGGTTATTCTGTCTGGTTGGTTCAGTTACATACTGCTTCAAAATGCAGTCCTGGGCTACTATTAGGAAGTTGATGGATCTAAATTACCAGTCAGAGAATTTCAATTT